AAGGACTATAGACATTTTGGTGAACAAATATTAATGGGTTTTCATTACTTCTTTCTGAGTCAAAATAAAGACACATTGACATCTATTAATATTGATGAGATAAGGAAGTAAAGAGATCTTATGCAACTTGATTAAAATCAATCAGTAGTGATATAGTCTGTTCCTGAGTCTTAGGTTACAGTCAAGTGTCATACCTATTACTATATTACCTAAGTACGAACAAAAAAGTATGCCTCAAAACATTATGTAGGGGCAGGCAGTTGACAAGGTGGTTAAGGTGTTGGACTCTCACATGGCTGACCATGGTTTTAATCCCAGACCTGGTGGCTTGCTTTCTCATTTTCTCTCTCTCTCTCTGTCTGTATTTGGTGAGCACACATGCCCTGTAGCAAATTAAAAAACACTAATAATGATTTAAAAAATTAAATAATTCTTATAAAAAAAACCCACTATGTAAAAATTACTCCATTTACTTCTCCCCTCAGGGAAGACAGAATTTTCAGTGACATAACCATTATGCCATCAGCTAGTCCCTATAAAGGTTTTTAATAAATTTCTACTTTAACACTTGGAGAAAAAAAAAAGGAATTTAGACCACTTAGATTTATCTTAGTTAAGATGTTCATTTAAGATACTATCAAAGAAGTTGCCATCAAATATGCCTGGAATGAAATAGCATTATGTAAAATAATGTTTGCTTACAGCCTGATAAAGAAGAGAAATATAACTTCATAATAATAAAACACCTTTGTTCCACCCCGAAGTATTAAATTCAATATATTCTTTCTGACAAAATCATAATTTTTTGGAATATTTTCTTGCAATGACAAATAGCTAGCTCCACCTAGAAATGAGATGAGATCCTAGTTAATGTGGAATTCAAGTTTTTCTTTATTAAGTGTAGAAGATGTATATTAACCTATAGTGCACTAAATATCTGGAAAGGAATACAAAACTTTGGGGGGAAAAATCCATGTTTCCAACAATTAATCAATATATAATGTAGATAAGATGTCTCAAAGTGACTGATTTCACTTTTCTTTAAGTCTCTAGAGATTGTCTAGACATGGTCCAAAAATGAATCTGCATTATTAAAATAGAATAAAGTTAAGTTCTCTCCAAAGGATGGTTTCTTCTCACAAGAAACATCTCAAAAAAGACTACAGTAAATTATTCATAACTTTTAAGTTCATATTCATATCTTATTAAAATTATAAAATTTAATAAGCCATGTACTCTTTAAATCTTCCTTATTGTTCTATTTCATAAAAAATCATTTATTTTTCATTGTATGATTTCTTTTCTCTTCTTCTTGGCCTATAGACAAAGTATGGATAGAGAAAACATCAAATTTAAATTCCTGGTTGCCTGAGTCATACTTTGAATTTGGGCAACTCTTAAGTTCAGTTTGACGAACATTTATATATTAATTACGCATTTACTATGTTCCAGACACTGCTAGTTCTTTTGAGAACACAGCATATAAGTCACAGAACTAGCTCTGAAGCAGTTTAGTGTCTAAGCAGAAAGATAGGGACATAACCAAATATTATACTAGTCAACTGTAAAAAGTATTGTCAGGGACCTGCAGGTGTCATAGTAGTTAAAGCACTGGATTCCACATGGCAACTACAGTTCAAGTCCTAGACCTGGTGGCTTGAAAATTATGTTGGGTGCGTGTGCATGCCTGCCCAGGATCCCAGGAGGAGAATAGGAGAAGGGATTGCGGAGTGGCCATGCCCCCTGGGGAGTGATTTCTCACTTTCCCTCTCACTATTTCTCTCTGTCTCTCCTCTCCAGTGAGCGCACATGGTCTATGGGGGGAAAAATAGTATTGTCATTGGCCTGCAAATAAAGGGAAGTAAAAAAAGGGAAAATTTGTTCTATTAGAGAGATCAACAAAGCTTTCAGCAATAAAGTGATAATTGAGTTCAGCCAAGTCAACTCAAGAATACACAGCTCAATACATAGAGTTTATGAATGAGGACAAATATTAAATTTAGAATGAGAAATTAGTAGCATTTAGAATACTTTTGTCACCCTCTCTGGTGATCTCAACACACTTTAAAAATATTTATTTAATTTTATTTATTGTTGTTATTACTATTATTCTTTAGTTTGCTATAGGGCACAAGGCCTCTCCAGAAAGGGAAAGTGAAGAAAACCAGCCACCAGGTCCGGGCCTTGAACCAAGGTCAGCCCTGTGGAAGTCCAGTGTCTTAATCACCACCTGCTGGCCCAGATCCCATTGCACTTTGTACCTATCACTGTTCTAACATGTTGCCTCATAACAGGTTTTCTTCCAGGCATGTCACTGTGACAGAGGGGGCCTTACGGAATCACAGCCACGTCACCTTTGAATTCCCAGTATCCAGGTGAGCAAATGGCACATAGCAGAAAATTCAAGTTTTTAGAGAAACAAATGAATATTTGAATATTCATATTTGAATCGGTTTGTAAAGTGAATCAAGCTTTCCAATTTATCACTTTTTAAAAATCACTTATTTTGGATTGTGAGTCCCGATAGCAGTGTGCTATGAAATTTGTTTTCCAGCAGTTTCACTTTGGCCCCATCTTGAACTGGGCCAGCTAAGAGGAGGGTGGGCACAGAGCAGATCCCTATTTATTGAGGTTATCCTGTCGCTGTTTCCACCCCTGTGCTGGGAGCCTCGCTGATCCCAAGCTCACCTCGCTGATCCCAAGCTCACACACCTGCCTACAATCCTTCTGAGGTGTCTTAAAGATGTAGAAGGACTGTCTACTTTATGCTTGACAGCATGGCCGTCATTGAACAGAGCCAAGGTTAAGATCCCATGTATACTCCACCCCCTGCCCCCACCATGCTGAACAAAGATGCTAGCTTAAGCACAACAGCAGTGGTGCAAAAGGGTACCACAGAGATTAGCTGAGGTATAAAACCTAATAAAAATATATTACCTGGAATGAACACAAAGTGAAATCAAAATAGTCAAAACATTTATCATTGCTCCCTGCAAAATCACCTCCTAGATACCGGAATTTGCTTTTTTTTGGGGTTAATTTTTGTGCCATTATTACTTATGCTCAGGGTTATTTGTGACTCCTAGATAACTAGCATTTTACTCTTAAGTCCTTGACTTGTAATATCACTCCCTTCCTGAGTCTGAATTTATTTCTGTGTTTTATTTTTCTGTAAAATATACCTCATTTCACAATGGAAGATAATGGGGGAATAGTATTTGAGCTTCTAGAAACTTTATTTTGTAGCTACAGATATTCTAGAAGATACATATTTTCCATTTAAGGCAAGGAGAGGTGGTGACAGCCATAAGATAAATGATCATTTATGCTTAATAGTTAAGAGTTAAGGAAACCCAGTAAAAAGTTTACTTCAGTATGCCACAACCTCAGCCCTTACAACTTTATAAGTGGTCTATAGAACAGTACTGGCTTCACCAGGTAGCACATGAAGAATGCAAATTCTTGGGGCCAGCAGGTAGTATTGTAGTTAAGATGCTGGACTCCCGCTGGACTGAGGTGTGTGTCATGCTGGGTAAAGTCTCTTTACAATCTAAATGATGTATAGCGATTAAATGTATAAACAATAATTAAAATTAATAAATAAAAAAATTATAAAAAAAAGATGCTGGACTCCCACATGGCTGATGCGGTTCAAGTCCTGGACCTGGAAGCTTACTTTTTCACTTTCCCTCTCTCTCTTTCTTTCTGTCTCTCTCTGGTAAGCACACATGCCCTATAACAAATTAAAATAATAATAATAATAAATAAAATTAGATAAAATAGTTCTATAAATTCTCACCCTCTCTACCCCATCAGAGTCTGCATTTTAACAAATTTTCTGCATGACTTGTGTTCACATGAAAGTTTTAGAAGTGCTAATTAGCCAATCACAGAGCTTCAGAGGAGCTCCACAAACAGAAATGAGACCATGAATCTTTACTTCCGTTTGGATTTTCTTTGAAAAGTCTTACATGCTGGTTATTTTCTGTATCTTGTCCAAACTTACATTAAGATATGACCCTAGGGGGACCAGCAGTTAGCGTAATGGCTATGTCGCTGGACTTCCACGTAGTCGACCGCGGTTCGCGTTCCGGACTCGGTGGCTTAAAACTCACGCTGGGTCCATGTGCGTGCGTGTCCAAGATCCCAAGAGGAGAATGGAGGAGAAGGGATTGCGGCGTGGCCATCCCCCCTGGGGGGTGATTTCTCGCTTTCTGTCTCTATGTCTCTGTCTGTCTGGCGAGCGCATGCGCCCTATAGCAAAAACCTCTCAAAAAAAAAAAAGAAAAAGGTATGACCCTAGGATTTTGTGACCTCCCTATTTCTACTTTCTGTTCAGTCTGATGGTGCTGTGTTACAAACTGTTCCCATGACCTCCTCTACTAGAGAACGAGGCATACAAGAGGAGAAGGGAGGAACCCTGCTCTGAGTTAGAGAACTGTATGGAAGACCAACAAGTGCATCTGACTGCATGAGAGAATTTCAACTCCACTCTTCCCATGATATTTTCTTTCCTAAGAGTTGTTTTATGGTCCGAGAAATAGATCCATTTTCTTAAAGGAAAATCCCCAGTCCCTCAATCCACAAGCTTTTATGTTTCACACACAAGGTGCATTAGAATGATTGGTCCTTTCTTTGCTTGAGTTTATGCACTGCTCATCTTTGAAATTTGTCACCTTGAGAAGCTGCAGAAAGGCGGAGTCCTAGGCACCTTGAAGCATGGGTGCTGATAGGTCTGTCTTGCCAAGCTAAGAACCAGAGGAAAACATGCCACTGTCCTTTCCTGAACTTGCGTTTCAAAGACAAGACACCTATTTGTTGCCTTCAAAGCATGCATCTCTTCACTGTGACCCTGTTTGTACTGGAGTAAGCCAACTTAATAAATGTGGATGTGACACTGATGACAATGATAAGAGTCCCCGCTGAAAAAATGACAGGATGATGTGTAAAAAAGGACACAGCCATTACAAGTCTTTCAGTAACAAAGGCAAATGACATACCTAGGCTGCATCCCAGACATCCTTCTTCACAAGACACACATTCTTCATAGTCTGGGTCTTGAACTTCATCTATACAGTGAGAAGAGTGAAAAACACTACTCATTTCCACTGAGTGCAGATGCATTCATCGTTATGAAAATACGTTGGTGTATAGCTCATTTTAAGTAGCTCATAGAGCAATGATGAGGCCCAGAGCCAACCTTGAGGATACCTGTGTCATCCACTTTATTATCTCCTTATATTAATTTAATAGATTGGATCAGCTTGATTGGATACAAATAGAACAAAATTGGTCTACACAGCATGCAACCAGTGTTTAAGTAAAGCTGGTAGACTTTCTTTATTAAAGATATCAGTTCTGCTTCTAGGAAAATGGAATTGGTTTATAAATGAACAGGCTCTGTCTCTCTTTTTATCTGCCCTACTGAACACTTCAAAAAAATATTTTACTACACTCATAAACATTAAGGAGAAACAAAAATGAGTTTCTTAATTATTCTAAAAGTGTCGTGGAACTCTCTTCAGCACCAGAACAGACATAATTCTTATATAGACCAGAGTAGCAGTCTGTAGCGTTCTTACATAGAAGAGAGGCAGAACTATAACTGTTATTTTTTAATTTTCCTCTTCCCATAGAAGATAACAAATTGGGTAATAACAATAACACATGCAATTCACAGGCCATTTTAATACTTTCAAGTAGTTTTAGGCAGGCTGATTCTCAGTGCTTTTTCACAGCAGCTCTGTTTGATGCTATGCTTTCCCTATCACAAATAAAGACACTAAACCATGGAGAAATTGCATTATTTTGCACAGGGTCTCATATCTAGTAATAGGGAGAAAGAAAACTGTTGACCAGGACTTTATGATTGTAATCGCATTTTCTCTCCACTATATCCTGTTCACAAAATCCTCCCAATCAAGATAACTATGACCTTGGATAGTGTCAGAAAACCCAGAGTAAGGATGTAAGGGGGGAAGATAGGAGGGCAACTACCAGTGTCCCCACTTGACACACAGAGCCACCCATAGGCATCCCAACTGCCAACATTAGAGCCAGGAAGGCAATGTAAGTCTTGAGGAGATCTAGGGGTACAGACCCCCTCTAACATTCTGGAGCTAGGCAGGGGCCCCAGCTAGTCTTACCTTGTCCGCACTTTAACTTCTGGCAGGTGAGGTTGGTGGGGACCAGAACGTGGCCACTCATGCATTTGGTGCAGTCATGTGGGCCATGGCACAGCTCACAGTTGTCTGAGCAGGGCAGGCAGATAGACCCCTGGGCAGGGTAATGGCCCACCGGGCAGCTCTCTCGACACTCCCCTTGGTACAAGAAGTGCTCTTTGCCATGCTTGTCTGTCCAGTTAGAGTGGCAAAAAAAGAGGAAAAGTGTACAAAATTAGTCATGAAGCTAATATAATGTAAGACATTTTATTTTAAAAAGATACGACTAAGATTTTGCTCCTGGGGGACCCAGGTATAGACTGGACTTAATGAAAAGTGCAGTATCCTAGTACTTGAAAAGTTTTCCTTGCAGGGGATCAGTTTCCAATATTTTATATATTTGAGTGAACAGCCACAACTATCTGCGATGTCATTGCAAAACCACAAAAAGTATTCTGTGAACAAGTAGAGCTCAAAATATGTTGAACTTTCCCAAGGGCTCCTTTGGTTATCTGTGGAACCTCTTGGACTTGGGGGGCTGTAGAGATCCCAAGAAAATAAGCATATGATTGATAAGAGACATGTTTTATCAAGGTGTAATTTTTTTTTTTGGCCATAGGGTCACATGTGCTCACTAGAGAGAGACAGAGAGAGGAAAAGCAGAAAATCACTCCCAGTGGGGATGGTCATGCCATAGTCCTTTCTCCATTCTGCTTTTGGGGTTTTGGGCATGCACACACATGTGCCTGGTGTGATTTTCAAGACACTGAATCAGAACTTAAACAGCTTTTGGCCATGTGGACATTCAGCCCGTTAACCACCACCCCACTTGCTGGCCCCTGAAAGTGCAATCTTTTAAAATGATTTTAAATGATCAAAATCACACACTTGTGTTTCCTAAGGTCTGAATATTTTTACAACGTGCAATTTCTATTAAGACAGCTTATTGATCAAGCACATTTCTGACACCTTCTCATTCATTCTTGAAGGTTTCCCTCAACCCTGACCTCTTTAAGAAAAGAATTTGCAGTATCTGCAGCATAACAGACTATGGGAATTTGTTCCCATAGGGAATAGAAAATTCTAATCAATTAGAAAGCATTGCACTTAGTTACCAAGGATTAAATCCATCACACATATAAACAACAATAAGGTTCATAGAGATGCAACTAGAACTTTCCTACTTCCGCTCTCCTAGGTTTTGTGCTGCGTGGGCTCAGAGCATCCATCAGATTTCTCATATGTCCCTGCCTATGAAGAGCAGCCAATCTGTGTTACTCAGAATAACCAGGGTCTAGTGTCCACTCATCATGTGATCTACTGCACAGAGATCCAGAGCCACTGACCTCCAAGATGCAAGGTCTGTGACTGAAGATAGCACTTGACCCCGTGTTGCAAATGCAGGAGCTAAAAATCAGTGTAATGTTGGGTTGAATCACATATAGTGAGCCAGTATTTGTCACTAATCTATAAATATGGCACTTTCAAATAGTTTACCCTATTTCATTTTATTTTTTATTTAATCAAAGCTCTGATTCAGATACCATCTGAAAAACCAACCCTTGGAGCATAGCCTCTCAAGCTCTTTTGTGACCATGATTTTACAACGAAAGTTGGCTGTTTCTTGTGGGAAAAAAAGACAATAAAGAGGGCTTCCTTGGAGATGTTGTGAAAAAAGATCTGCTGTTTCCAGTCATAACTGGAAAACCTTATCCTCCAAGGGAAGAAGGGTGTCTGGGAAGACATATGTGCACCTGTTGATTTACAGCTGTCGATCAATAGTGCAGAGCACAGAACTGTGATCAGTGGAACCTGAGATCTCAGGAGACTGCAGGATGGTCAACCTTCCAACATGTTTTCCTCAGTCACTTTATAAAACCTAGCAAACTCGGGGCTGGCAGGGTAAGGTATGGTGGTTAAGGTGCTGGACTCCTGCATGCCTGACCACAGTTTGAATCCCAGACCTGGTGGCTTGCTTTCTCACTTTCTCCTTCTCTTTTTCTCTTTGTGTGTCTCTTTGGTCAGATTAAAAACAAATAAATAATAATAACAAATTAAATTGAATTTAAAAAATAATAAAACCTCTAGCAAACCCCATCTCCACCATGACTCATTCAGAAAAGACCCAGATTTGCAGGGTGCCCAACTTCCAAGGTGTAGGTAGGAAGATCTGTGGGAGAGCAGCGAGAAAGCCTATAGCCCCTCATTCACAGCTGCTATGGTTCCCCACACTTTTGCATGATACCAATTCAAGATCCAGAGGTGCAGAGGCAGCCTGGCATGCAGCACATTCTAAATACATATTTGTTGAGTGACTGAATGAATAAAGTGAGTGGGTGATTTCATATTTGGCAATATTCAATTTTCCCATATATCCAATTGGAGCAACAATTCTAAAGTAAAAAAAGAATAATGATGGCCTTGGATATGGGAGAAAATGTTTTTTGTTCCTGTTTTTATTGTTCAGACATGATTTTATTATTTGGACCCTTCCGAGTGTTAAACTTCGTTCAAAGGACAGACATTTCAAGAGTCTCACTTTTTAAAGTACATGGCCTCTGCTAAGGGAGATCACTTAGATGCCTTGGCCATGGCCAGCTCTCCCCATGGAGCTGCACCACAATGAGGCCAAGATTTGGAAATATTTCTAATAGTCTGGGTGGTAGGCAGATTACTTAGTTAGGGATGGTAATCTAGATAGTCCAGACATTTACATGCCACACGTAATTGTTGGCTGTTTGCCCAGGGTCTCTGAATTTAAATGATCACAGTCATGTGTTGGAAAAGGTGGTCTCAGAGTAAAAGGTCTGGTAGTTTTGTCAGACACCAAAACCATTCATGGGACAATTTGAGAAAAGACTTAAAACACAAGAAACTTGGGGTCAGTGGGTGGTATACTGGTTAAGATGCTGGACTCCCAAATGGCCAACTGTGGTTCGAGTCTGAGACCCAGGGGCTTGAAACTCATTATCTTTCCCACAAGTGCGCATGCCCTACAGTAAAAGTCTCCCTTACAAAACAAACGAATGAATGAGGAACTCTGAAAGAGGTTCAGATGGCTTTTCATTTATTCTGAAGAGTAACAAATCGTTACCAGAGAATTTCTTAGTAGCTATTTTGTTAGAAGAGAAGATGGGCCCATGTGAAGACATTGGATGTCAGTAGGAGGAAAGGGAGGCTGAGGCTTGAAGGCATGAGGGGAAAAGGACTGCTGGAATGGAGGGAAGAAAGGCTGAGGACTCTGAAAATAAACTTTTGAAGTTCACTGCAACATTTCACGTACTGTAGCTGTTAGGTGACTGGCTGAATTTAGCTTTGGTCCTTGTTGGGTAGAGGATAAATCTGGAAAAGAATTTGGAGTGAAACCTCACTGACATAGCTGGAGAGCTGCATTTCTAAAAGGATTCACACCTGGACCTCAATAAAGTTACAATTAAACAAGGGATGAAACCACTTCAAACTAGTGGGAAAGGTTTATCTGGGTGGATGGAACGTCCCAGACAGAAAATAGCCTTTTATTGAAGCTCTCATTTATAAATATCAAAGTTGTTCAATTAAGTCATTCATCTTCTTTAGCACTGTTTCATCAAGATCTCTGCTACACTAACTGTGTTAATATTTCTTGAACTAGAGACATCGAGCTTTTAGCAAGCAGAGAACCTGCTTAATAGGAGTTGGCTAAGCAATGCCTTCCCCAGGAAAACTCCTCTGCTCACTAGAGCTCAAAGTCATGTTTCTTTGACCTGTGGCAGTATTTCTACGATTTATTTAGTGTTTATGTAGTATTTTCTTATTTTGTAATAGGTAAGGACAAGCCCACTGTTAGATTGTAAATTCCTTGCAGGTGATTATTGCGCTATCATTTATTGTATTTTTCATGGTGTCTGATGTAGTAAGTCATACATGGGAAGGCAGCAATAAATGTTTAAGATAATACCTTTAAACAAAGTCTTTCAAATAGAAAATACAGAAGAAATGTCAGTATTTTATGTGTAGATTGGTCAGGGAGCTGTTAGACACATAGAACCCTAGACATTTGCTTAGCATAGAAACTGCTCTCTAATTGGTGCATTGTGTGAAGATTCAGAGTATTTTAGTTATCAAAGAGATTTCAGATGCCATCTTGTCCTGTCTTCCCTTTTTCACAAATAAGGAGAGGATTACAGAAGTAAAGTGACTGGTGAGTGTATTCTAGTTAGTAACAAATTCAGGGTGAGAATCGAAGTTTTCTTTGCTATAGGGCATGTGTGCTCACTGAAAAGAAAGAGAGAGAGAGGAAAAGTGAGAAATCACCCCTTAGAGAATGGCTACACTCCAATCTCATCTCTGCCATTCTCATCTTGGGATTTGGGGCATGCTTGCACATGTGCCTGGCAGGTTATTCAAATCACCATGTCCCAGACTTCAGACACAGTTGACCATGTGGGACCCAGTCACCTTGTCCACCACACCACCAACAGGCCCTGAACCCAAGTTTTCTGATTGCTGATCTTAATATTCTTTCTACTGAAACCTTAATCTATACGGTTGTTATGCATCTGCTATGTGTCAGATACTGAGTTTATGAACAAAATACAACAACAAACAAGGTAGAAACCATTCACTGCTCTGACAGAGCATAGAGTCCTGTGGACCAGATGAACATTCAACATGATGAGGCTTGTGAAGTGGAAGTGCAGGAGCTCAGAAGCGCTCCTGTGAATGAGACCTAACCTAGCCAGGCCAGTCAGGGCAACCCTCACTGAGGAATAGCATTGAACCAAGTGGAACTGAAGAAGTCAGCCGGACAATGAGTGCAAACAGCACAAGTCACATCCTTGAGGTTAGAGAGATTTACATGCCCTGAGGAGTAAGCAGATACAATAATAGTAGAAAGAAATATAAGAATAGTTATTATTCACTGAGTACTTTACTGTGTCCTACTCTGTTCTAAATGCTTTATTGTTCTACGTCATTTAATTTTTATAATAACTCTAAAGGAGGTAACTATTCTCTCCATCTTACAGATAAGGAAGAAAACAGAATGAGACATAGATGTACTTAGTTTAATGAAGATACTTCAAGTAGGAGTTTATTTTGGTACAAAAAATTTAAATTTAGGGTCAGCAGGTGGCATAGTGGTTATGGTACTGGACTACCACATGGTCGACAGCAGTCGAGCCTCAGACCCTGTGGCTTGAAACTCACACTGCGCACATGTGTGTCTATGCCCAAAATCTCAGGAGGAGAATGGAGGGGGAAGGATTATGGCATGGCCACTCACCCTGAGGGGTGATTTCATACTTTTGTTCTCTCTGTATCTGGTAGTCTGTCTCTCTCTCTCTGGCAAGCACACAGATGATATAGCAAAAACCTAAGAAATTTAAATTTATGCCTAGTTTTTCATAATATGCATTTTCCATGATTTTTTTTTATTTTGGAGAGGTTTTTTTTCGCCATAGGGCGCGTGCGCTCGCCAGACAGACAGAGAGAGACATAGAGACAGAAAGTGAGAAATCACCCCCCAGGGGGGATGGTCACGCCGCAATCCCTTCTCCTCCATTCTCCTCTCGGGATCTTGGGCACGCACGCACACGCGCCCGGCATGAGATCTAAGCCACCGGGTCCCAGACGCGAACGGCGGTCGACTACGTGGGAGTCCAGCGACATAGCCATTACGCTAACTGCTGGTTCCCTCCATGATTTTTTTTAACAAACTCTTTGTACATGAAACAACTGAACATTTTAAAAGACTTATTTATTATTTAATTCCATTTGTTATTGTTATTATTGTCATTATTTAATGTGACCAGACAGAGAGATAGAGAGAGGAAGGGAAAGTGAGAACGCAAGCTGCCAGGTCTAGGATTCAAACCACAGTCAGCCATGTGGGGATTCGGCCTTTAACCACCATGCCACCTGCTGGCCCCGGAACAGTTTTAATATATAACATTTTAAATATATACAAATAAATGTGTCTCCTGTTCCTCTGCCAATGTGTGAAACTCTCATTTTGTTCATTTTTTTCTTGATTTCATTGTAAACAATAATATAGCTAACTAATTCCATTTTTCCAATAAAACAATGTGAGTGTGATGATGATGGTAACTGATGGCCTCAGGATCAGTGAGACATCTGGAAATGGTGAGGACTATGGAGAAATAGAGTAGCTTTTTTTGGACTCCAGCCAGTTGTTCAAGAAATACAAGCCTAGTGTTGCAGATCTTCTGCATTGTCAAGAAAAAGAAAGAAAGAAAGAAAAAAAAACACCTCAGGTTTTAAATTTTAAATTTCCCAATTTTAAAATTTGAATAAACATTTAAAAGTACTACATAGGTCAAATTTAAAAACTGAATCTGGTCCATGTGAGGACAAAGTAGAGGACAGGCGTATATGAGGCTGGGGAGGAGTCAGGGGTCAAACCACAGAGTACCTTAGAGTCCACGGACTAAAATCTAATGACAGCAGAGAAGTCTTAGAGGAGTTGATGCTGGAACACTAAAGGTCACATCTGTAATGATTTGAAATGGTTTCCTGGTTCCTGCAGGCTCTGACAACTTCTAAATGGCATAACTCAGCTCTGAGGAGATCTGACAGAGCCTCCAGCATGATATTTCCCTGGAAGACTGGATGCGTCTTTCTTAATTCCCTAGCTTTTCACTTTAACCTCAGCAAATCTTAGCTTTATGTCTACCTCATGGCTGACATCATGTTTACATGCCCTTTTCTCTTTCTCTGGGAAGACATTACATCGTTTCTTGCTCATCTCCTCAGGGGTAGTGAATCGGTGTCTACACTAATAAGAACAAGGTTTGTGTGTCCTGACAACAGGCAGCAACTTCGAAGTTGTACAGGCTCCCTGATGAGCAGCTGTCTAATCTTAACCCTCAACCCCCAGAGACAGGCTTCTGAGTAAATTAACAGCCAAATAACATCCAGAGAGAGAATGAGGTTTGGGTAAGGAGGAACCAACAAGCAGCAGACCCCTCACCTGGCCCACACACGGTGCAGTTGGAAGGCCCACTTCCTTGGCATCCTTGGCAGGTGTGGTGGCATGGAAGACATTGGCTTTTAAATTCAAATTTCCCAAAGGGACAGTTCAAAACGCAGCGACCATCATCAAAAATCCTAGAGAAAGAACAGACTTTTAGAATTCAGCCAGGGAACGGCCCGAGGTGTCAGGACACATGGTACTCATGATGCCCACCACAGATTTGGTTTCATTGTCTCCAAAACAAGGGGAATGCTTGGGACCAATCTTAGAACATATCGGATATTAGCCACGTACCCGTCTCTGGTCCAAGATGTGACCCCAAAGAAGGAATATCAGAAACTGGCTAAGAAACCTGCTTCTGATTCCAAACCAGACAACTGGGGCCACAGACGTGTAACCCATATTGCAGGTTCCAGCTAAATTCAGCCACCAGATAGAAGTCTCTGAAATGTATTGTTTTTTTCTTTTTTTGGTTCTAGAGAGTGGATGCCTTCACTAGAGAGAGACAGACAGAGAGATAACGAGAAGAGAAAGTACACCCCCCTCAATCCCCCATAAGGAATGGTCATATTACAATCCCTTCTCTATGATTCTCTCCTTTCAGGATTTTGGGCACACACGCCCACATGCCCAGTATATTTCTCAAACCACAGGGTCTGGAATTTGTGTGTCTCAATTTGAGACACACAACTGGCCATGTGGGATCCAGCCACCTTTACCACCACACCACGGAGCTGTCCCTTTCTGAGATTTTAAGACATTAAGTAGGCTTTCTAACCCCAAGGCCTTAAAAAAATATTCTTCAGCATGCCCACACTTGCAAAGAAAATGTCAGCTCCAAGATTCTCTTGAAGGGTATAACCAAGCACTATTCCATAGCTCACATGCTACTTATCAATCTGGCCTATGTATGTTGCATCTGATCAATAAAGTCTGACTTTTGAGTGTCATTTTCTTGGAAGCAGTTCCTGATATATGGAGTACTATCATCTCTACTTTCCAACCATGTTTTTTGAACACCTGCAAAGGCATTGCAATTAAGTTAGTATACGGATTCCTAAAATCTTGGGTTTTATGTACATATAATGTATATCATAACGTCATTGATAATATTTTCACAATTTTGCTCAAGTTTCCCATGCAAAGTAATCATAGAACACATGTGATGAAATAAATTGTGTCTACGCAATCTGCTCAGGTCACAAGTCAGATCGGTAATGTGAATACATGAAGGGATCAGGGGGATTTCACCCTCAGAGTTTTTAATTTAGTAGGTGTTGGGGAGAGGGAGCTGAGAATGGGCATTTCTGACAAGTTCCTGGGTGTCAAGAATGCTGTTCTAAAGAGCACACTTAAAAAACTGCCCCTCATTAACAGCCTGGGTTAGTGTGGAATTTGCTGATTCCCAAGTAGTGATGCCAAATGGGTGTCTCTTAGCACTCCCTTAGAGTCATAGTTACTGTCCAGTTGTGAGGCTAGCTGAACACATGGCTCACACAAGTGCCAAGGGCATCATGCTGTCATCCTGGCATGGAAGGGTTGCATGGGCTGCAAAGTAAAGGAAGGGTTTCCTTCTTTCTCTACTCTCTCTACTCTGGGCCGGCACCACATGAAAAGCCAGGTGTAGATCTCCAACAACTTGTTTCTGGGGTGGCTCCAGTTGGTCTAAAACCCACCATTTCCAAAGCTGGACCCAACCCTTAATGGGTGACAGTCTGTTTCAATCCCAGGTTTGAAGGAAATTGGAGTGGAGACAAGATGTCCTGAATAGTGAGTCACTTTGATCTCCTTCTTTTCAAAACCTTGAGAATCTGTGTCATTTGCATCTGTTTGAACAATAGAATAGGGCTCACACCAACAGCATAAGACAGAGGATCTTACTCTTGGGTTCCCTGTCCCTTAGATTCTGGTCACAATGCCCAGCATGGCTAGAGCAAACAATCCTTCTGGCGCACTGCAGAGCATGGAGGCCCAGCCCCAAACAGACACTCACACACATCTGCTGTCCATGTCAAAACAGATTCCCTGCACCAGAACGTGCAATGACATGCCTGACCTCCCTACCCAGATTTTTAGTGATGGCATTGATGCCAACAGGGAATATCCCAGCCCCACCCTGGCTCTGAGTTAGATTTCCCAAGGAATAATTTGGATGTGGCTAGTTTAAAACAAACAAAACTTCCCTGTAAGAAAAATTGGTGAAAAGTATAAAAGCTTTCTGACGATTCTTTTTTTCTTCTTCTTTTTTTCTTTTTGCAATAGAGGGTGAATATGCTCACCAGAGAAAGAGACAGAAAGAGAGAGAGAGAGGAAAAAACAACCTCATAAAGAATTGTAATGCCACAATCTCTTCTCCATTTCTTCCTCCTTTCAGGATTTTAGGCATGCACACACATATGCCTGGCTTGCTTTGTAAACCAATGGAGCTGGGGCCAGGATTCAAACTGCTATCAGCCACTTGGGATCCAGTTCCCTTAACCACTAGGCTATGAGACCAGCCCTTAATTACCTTTTTATTTTTAGAGGGCATGTGCATTCATGTGTGTAAGAAAGAAAGAGAGCCAGCACCAAAATCCTTTTCCCGCCATTTCTCTGTCCTATCAGGATTTGGGCATGCAAGTATATGTAGCTGGCGTGGTTTTTAAGACACTGGGGCTGAAAATCAGGGCTGGGATTCCAATGACTGTCAGCTCTTTGGGATTCAGTTTCCTAAGCACAGCACTTAATTGCTGTGTTATGGGGCCAGCCCAACATATATAAACAGGATAAGACCCAGCCTCCATCTATTCATTCATCACTCAGCTTCCACAATGCTCAATGCATGGTCAGTATTATTTCATCTGTATCTTCACCAATTCACTTCCCTCCCATGTCATTTTAAAGTAAATCTGCATGATAAATTATATCACTCCTCTACCTAATAAACATTACAGGGATTATCTGTATTTTACCAGTTCAGGAGATATACAGAGGTTTGAGAATAGGAAGAAATTCAAGAAGAGTCTTTGTGTTATAAGCAGGAGTTGGGTTCTTTCTTCTGCAGACTCATGGGGTGGCTCTAAAGTGGTAGGCACCTCTTCTCTCCATCCTGAAACCCATGAACTCCCACCCCCAGAAGATACCAAGAGACCACTCACCTAGTGATGGGGCAGTCAGTGCAGTCTTCGTGGGTCGGCCCCCAGCACTTGGCACACGAGGCTTCACATATGTGGCAACGACCTTGCTTGTCAATGTATTCTCCTGGGGAACAAAATCTAACTGTTTACTTCATTTCTACATGGCAACGCTGCCTGGGCTGTCAGTCTGAGAGCAGCCAGATCTCTCTGTGGCTGCCTGAAAAGAGTGGAGACAACACAGAGAAGAGAACCTGAATTGCCTCAGCTTTCCGTCCTAAATGCCGACCTTGTAATAACAACTTCTCCTCTCCCAGCGGCCCCAGAAATTGGAACTTCAAAAGTCATGAGGCAATGACATAATTTTGGGTCTATTAAACATGTGTTACAGATTTAATAAGCAGGGGAGGCCAAAGGGGGCTTCCCACTGGACCCCTTTACTGAGCTCCTGCTGACTTTCCCATTAGATGCTGAGGCCTCCTGGCTCACAGAGGCCCCAGCTCTAGTCTTGGTTTAAGTCAAGCAATGAGTAGGACGCACCTAGTTGTTGTCTTAACACCCTGGGGAAGAGGTGGACCGTGGTGATTGGTCAGGAATGGAAGTTGAGTCTTGGCTAACATTTGGCTGTATGAGCTCCATTTCACCCTGAAACAGTAACTGTGAAGAGATAGCCAGAAAATTCTTCCTTTAATTGGAAAGTTTATCTTTCCCAAGGAAAAACACATATGAGGCCTTGCCACAGAAGCAAATCCGGCCTCACAAACTTCTTGTGAACATATAAGAAATTATTCTCATGGTGAAGGTAGGGAAGAGAGGCCAATCTCATTGAAGCTGATACTCCAAAGATGGGCCTTTACTAGTGGATTTCAACCCTCCTGCCCATGCCCCAAACCCCAGCGTTCCCCCCCCCCAAACAAACATTTTCTTTAAAAAAAAAAAAAAAAAAAAAAGATGAAGACAGGTTTCTTCAGTCAATCCAAAGGGCCTTTTTCGTTGCTGTTGGTTTTTTGTTGTTGTTTGGAACTGATTATGCTCAAAAAATATAGTTCACATTTTGGCAGTATCACAATTTGTCCTCGACCTCACTCTGCTGCCAACTTTGACAGTTCTGAGAGCACATCTGAACATTGTCAATCTGAGATCCAGCTGGTGTAGTGAGGTAACAGGATCCACCCATGGTTTAATCATGTCGTCTCACTCACACTCTAAGATTCAATTCCTGATTTATTGTAGTTACATTGAAAAAAGTCCTGTAAAAAAAGTCCTGTAAATATAGAGTCACAAAGGACTTATGTTTACAGAATTGGAGCATACCTACATATCTTTCAAAAGGAATATGCTGAGTGGAACAGGAATGCAAGGTTCACAGAGGCTTAAAAACATAAAGCAAATATGTTCTAGAGAACATGAGCTCAGAGAGAACACAACTTTTCTATTCATTCATTCCATGGCTAGTTTTTGAACAGCTGTACATGTGGCACGTATGAGGTGAGAATTTTAAGAAATACTGATTAAAAAGGCCCTCTTACTGGATTCTCAAAGATTTTTATAAGGAGATAGTTATACCCAAATGCTATCCAGGAGCCTTCTACTTCCTCAGACAGTGTAGATTAAAGACTAAAACAGAAGAGTGAGCGTATACACCGGACTTTGCTAGACCTAGAGGCAAAAATAATTACTTTGCCTTCACATCAGTACCCATAGGAACTGACACAGTGATTTGGTTTTCTTAAATTCCTCATATTCACCTATCTTAATCCCCTGATGTATCAGACTCTATGCTAGAATAGGATTTTAAACTTAAAACACCTCGCTCTGCTGACCAAATGCGACCTAGGTAGTTCTGAGAGTTATACCATATCCACATCCAATTTTCTTTGTAATTACAGATGAGACATTGCCAATAAAGCCAGGATTATTAGGATATTATTGTAAATTTTAAAATGTCCTCCTATATCTCTCATTTGTCTACTCCTTAGCTTCCATAGACCAGTAACTTGTCTTTATACTTCCTTGATCTGTTCCACTATAATGACCTCTTTGGGCATTGGCAAAATGTCACATTAGATACAATGACCAATAGGCATTGCCCCATCTCAAGATTTTAAACATGCTGCACTATGTGTCAACATTACCCAGGGAGCTCTCCTCCCTATGACCATGACCATCCTTTCCTTCAACTCTTTCTAGTTCCTTCTTGTGTTCTGCTTGGGCTAGGTCAAACCATCCCAAAACCCAAGTTCTACCAATTCTTTCTTGGAAGGAGATATCATCCCCTAATTTGCTGAGAAGATATATGAGTTTTCCGAGCTTCCTTCTCAATGCCAAAATTCCTCTGTATCTTCTCCTTAACTTTTCATTTATCTCCCATCTCTGAGGAGGGCATGTCTCTCTTCTTGGCCATTGTCAACACTCCCTCTAATGTTATGATTCTTCTTTCCTCAGATATTTCTCCACCAGTTCTGTTTTCAATCTCTTTTTCACATTTTCCATCATTGTTCGAACTAGAAAAGTTCTCCCCAACCTAAAACCTTCCCAGCTCTTCCTCTCCCTGAGAAGCTACTCTTATAATTTGTTGTCCCTCCTACCATTTGGGAACAAAATGGAGAAGCTTGAAACTTATGTGAGTCAGTGTGGGACAGCTCACTCGTATATCTCTGTCAGATCTGCACATCTCTTCACTTCAGAGCAAGCTCTGGCTTTAGAACAAATGAGAAGAATAGTGAGGCTTGCCCCAATTCTCATACTTATGTAGATGTCCAATTAGTTACATAAACAACTGTCCTAGCCCTTGCAGGCACAAGTTTTCCACTGCACATTTGAAACTGAAGAAGCCAGATTCCAAGGACATAGGGAAGTTGCATTTTTTTTTTATTGTTGGAACAGCAAATTCTCATCATCTGTCTTCATTGCACAATGAACAATGAAGCTGAGTGTTTATGACAGGCATGATATACGAAATTCTTAGAAAAAGTCACTTTTAGCAGCAATTCAAGGGGCCAATATTTTGTTCTCCTTTTCGTCTTACAAGCTCTTTTTTTTGGCACCTTCATCCATTATTATTATTTTATTAGTATTATTTAGCTTTCGGCCATAGGGAGCACTTACTCACTGGAGAGAGACAGAGCAAGACAAAGATAAAGGAAAGTGAGAAATTACCTTCCAGTGGAGATGACCACGTCACAGTCTCTTCTCCTCCTGGAATTTTGGCATGCACGTACACATGCCAAGTGTGATTTTTTTAAGACACCAGGTTCAGGACTCGAACCATGCAGTTGGCCATGTGAGATCCAGCTGCCTTAACCTCCATGCCACTTGCTGGCCCCATCATCCATTATTATTATGTCCAAATCATCTTTCTCCTGTGATCAAAAATTTTTTGTTTCCCTTTTAGTTTAGTTTTCATCTTCTCCTATAATGATTCAAAGGGCATTGAGGAAGCAGGGTCTCACAGGAAGGAATAATGTCTTCAAAATTAAAATATAGTTTAGAAATGAATACTTGTGCATTTAAAATGTACAAGTGAGTGACTTGCTTTGCTTATTCCAACTCTTGATAACATTGTAAAATGCTACCACATGTCAATGTTATAAATAAACCTAATGAAGCCATCCAGAATGAATAACATATAGCACATCATCTAGTTATAAAATATGATTAATATGTAATACTACTTTTTAGATTTACGTGGTCAGAACTTCATTTGTCCTGAAGCAATGCAATGCTTTCTATTATACCTCATAATATCTCTTCATTGACTGGAGTCAAACTTATAGAATTTAAGCAAATAAATGTATACACTAAGTACATTAATAAGCACATCAGTAGATTAAGATGAGAGTTTAAAACAACTTTTTAGTGAAGTGACTGTTAAGAGAGGGTGAGAAGAATATTTGATGAAAATTCAGTCAGATGGTTTTTGATCTTGTCATGTCAGTGAGGAATCTTGGAGTATTGGATTGTATGCAGGTTTCTGAGTGTGGCCTATATATACGTCTTGTCACTCAGATGCTAGAAATCAGTGTGACTTTACTGAATAAATCTATAGTCCTAACTGCCAATCACATACTATCTCTGTGCAAGGATGCCAGTATGTAGCTTCCAACCTAGGATATCACTACATGAAGACAATCTTTGTTAAAAAATTTCATACATTTATTACTTTCCACCAGATACAATAAATGCTTGGCAGCACTTTCAACTAATTATATGCCAATAAAAGAAGTCAGTTTTTAAGACCTCGTTAAACATGACGTTTTATAGCAAGGTTCAAAATATGAGGCCATCAACTGAGACAGTAACATCTTTACTTTAAAGTCTGTACAGTTATGGAGCCTTTGAAAGAAAGGAAGTTCTGAGCAATGCTACAACAGGGATTAACCTTGAAGACATTATCCTAAGTGAAATAAGCCAGTCACACAAGGACGAATGTTTTATGATTCCACTTATTAGGGTACCTTTAGTAGTCAAATTCATAGAGACAGAAGGGAGAATGGTGGCTTCCAGAGATTCAGAAAAGAAGGGCAATGGGGGCTTACTGTTTAACAGATACGGACTTTCAGTTGGGAAGGTGAAAAAGTTCAAGATGGACGGTGATGATGGCTGCCCAATGATGTGAATATACTTAATGCCACAGAACTGTACACTTAAAGTGGTTAAAATGCTACGTTTTATGTTATATGTATTTTATCATAGTTTAAAAAGATGTCTACACAATGAGATTGTTCTGTAGCGGGCCAACACTTAATTTTCACAAGGCAGATTTACTCAGGGATTGAACATGTTCTTCAAATTTATTTTCTCTGATAAAGTGGTAACTATTTATTAAAAAGGTAATTCTATATATCAGATAAACTCAGATTTTATAGGCAGTTTGTTCTACTCATTAGGCTATAAGCTCTTAAGAGGAATTCAAACTTATTTATTGAATGAATAAAATAAATTGGTTGGGGATCTAGACAGAGATTTTCTCTATTACTTAACTGCTGTCCAAACACAAAATAAACTAGCTCCTCAGAAATATCATTTTTAAATTTGAAAACATGTTTTTTGCCAGAGGCTATGTGTTCTTACACACATGCATATGTCCACATCTTTGAGAGAGAGAGAGGGAGTGAGAGAGAGAGG